CTTTCCTCTTTATCCAGTGTGCTCGTGTGGCTTCTTTAAAACTGGTGTTTCCTGCTGTGTTTGCAGTGATTTTAAATCCAGAATAATACTATTAGTAATAAGTAAAATGTATTAGTGCATTAGAAATTTACTCAGAATGATAATTAGAATGTGATTAGCATTGTCTGATCTAACTTGTTTAATGCTTGTTTAGGTACAAGTGCACAAAGTAATGTATTTTTCAGGGAGTCATACCAGAAACTGTGAAATAAAGTTTTCACAGTGTTCTAGGCATGAGTTCCCCTGCAGAATTGTGACTCTGCATCTTACAAGGTCTTAACTCATAGGAGGAAATTCCTTTCTCACAAGAGCTTTAATGTTTTTCCCTCTTTTCCCTTCCCCTTCTCCTCCAAGGTTCCAGCAAGCCATGGGAGGAGTTCCTGCCTGGGCTGATTTAGAAAACAGGAAGAAATCCAAAGGGTCTTCAAGTGATAGTAAGTAAATCCACTGCTATTCTAATAAGTATTTCTGTGATTCCTGTTCAGCTTCTTAGAAAGGAATTGTTTTTGCTGTTTTCTCAGTTTCAACAGTGTGATCATATGCTGGATAAGTCACTTTATTCCTTCCTTCAGTGGGCTTTGATTTCATTTGCTTCTGTAAGGAGTTTGTTTATGTGGGAGTGTTTGTGGAATTAGCTTTTTTAATGTGCTCTGTTTCAATTTGTTTAATGAGGTGACAGTGATGAAGATGATGATCTGCTACGCAGAACTGGCAACTTTGTCACGAGCTCAGAGTCTCTGCCAAGAGGAATTCTGAAGGTAAAGACTAACCTTATCCTTCCACTTCAGTCTGACCCATGTGCCACTTTGTTGTTGCTATTTGGACAGGAAAATCAGTGATTATGGGAATTTCTTGTTTCTGTAAGTGGAAGGTCTAGAGGGTAAACAGTTGGACAAGTTGAATAGTTCACCTGAAAACGTGAAGTAATAAATTGAGGTGTGTTGTTTGACGTAAGAATTTTTATGTGCTCTGAAGTAGCATCTTGTGGGAGGATTTTAATTTCTGCCCAGGGAGGATGGTATTCTCCCACAGCTCTGAAGCTGCTGAGATGATCTCTGAGAAGTGACAGCCTTGAGGGAGTGTTTCTTACACTGTCTCCTCTACAGCTCTTGCAGATGAGTCAGATACAGCTGGTTTTACACAGACTTAATTTCAAAGTCAGTAGGAAGGCTGAGAGGAGTTCAGCCTGGGTTTGCATTTCTGCATTGGAGCAACTTCCCAAACTGGCTGTGTGTGCTTGGCCTCTGTCCTGCTGTCCAAAAGTTAGTGCAGAATAAAGAGTAATTAAATTAGCTGTTCATAAGCAATTGTTTGGGGTTTTTTTCAGTGTTTGGTGTGTGTTGTAGATGAGGACCTGCCTCCCTGCTAACCAGGAACGTTTTGCTGATGGAAGACTGGTGACAGTGCAGTTTCACCCTTCTGCCCAGGTGGTCATGACTGCTGGACACGATCGCTCTGTGTCACTCTTTCAGGTGAACTGTTTCAGTCTGATATGTGCAAATGGTCACTAATACAGAACCTTTTTTTATGAGTATACCTGAGACATCCTGGAACAACAGACTTTGTTTCCTCTCCTCCTGTGCACACAGAAATGTCATGTCTGTGGTTACACTGGAACTTGCTTGGTTAAAGGCACCTTGGAAGAAATTTCCATCTGTGCCTCCATACCAAGCACAACCAGAGTACAGGCAAATTTAGTGGTGTCAGGGTTTTTAGTTGATTTGTTTTTAAAAATGTTTGGGTTTAAAATTTGCAGTGACAAGGACTAATGAGATATTTTTGTTCAGAAGTTATTTAGAAAGCTGCAGTATGGGGAGCAGTCCACTCTACTTCAAAGCTGTAGTGCTGCTGTGAAATCATTTTGGGAATGGAGAGGTTGTACTTCAGCAATATGTTCATCACACTGCCCTGCTCCTCTGAAAACTAAAGATCATACCTCTCTACTTAAGAACTTTCAGCATGGCTCAGTGTCAGTGAAATGGTGAGATAAGTGAATTTGACAATCCTACAGGGCTGCAGGAGGGAATAAGTCAAATATTTCCATTTAAAAAAGCACAATAGGAGTGATGATTTGAACAAAGTGTGGGCAAGATAGGGAAGAGCAAGAGGTGTTCCTCTGAAAACTAAAGATCATACCTCTCTACTTAAGAACTTTCAGCATGGCTCAGTGTCAGTGAAATGGTGAGATAAGTGAATTTGACAATCCTACAGGGCTGCAGGAGGGAATAAGTCAAATATTTCCATTTAAAAAAGCACAATAGGAGTGATGATTTGAACAAAGTGTGGGCAAGATAGGGAAGAGCAAGAGGTGTGAAGGGTGTCCAGGGAGTGCCTGATACATCTCTCTGTCTCTATATGTGTGTGTGTATATATATATCTCCTCTATATGTGTGTATATATATATATCTGTGTGTATATGTACATATATATAGAGAGAGATGGTGAGGAGCCAAGAGCCAGGTTATTTGTAGAAGAGGAAGAATTTAATGCTTCCAAGTGCTGTACTCCTTGCTGTGTAAATCTCTTGTACTGGGCAATTGATGGAATTTTTCTATGTTGACGTATTTGGTTTGTTCCTTACTATGCTAACCTGGTTTGTTATTTTCTCTTTTGAAGGTGGATGGGATAAGGAATCCCAAAATACAGAGCATCTATTTAGAGAGTTTTCCAATTTATAAGGCTCGTTTCAGTGTTAATGGAGAGCAAGTTATAGCCACTGGGACTCACCACAGCATGTTCTTTGTGTATGACATGATGGCTGGAAGTATCATTCCCATACCAAGAGTAAGAGGTGTGTGTTACACTGCTTTAAGTGTCTGGGGGTAGTTGGAGCTGTCCCAGGTAGAGATGGCATGTGAATTTGTTTATAAAAGGAAGTGTAATGAATTTTTGGACGTTGTATTTTTAACTTCTCTTCAGGGAACAAGTACCTTGAGCTTGAACTTGTCTGGGATATTAACCACTGTCACACATGAGAAGGTTGAGTTTAGATTTGCTGTGACAGCTGTGACATCAGTGTAAGGCTGAGGTGGAGTCAGGTCTTACTCACATTCATCACACCTCTAAGTGTTGAGGAAAAGGTATAAATTATGCCAGTTTCAAGTTCTGAATCTCTTTTTAAAGGTGTGCAGGAAAAATTTCTCAGAAACTTCGAACTTTCTCCAGATGGATCATTTATGCTGCTAATTGGGACCTCAGGTTACCTCCACTTGCTGTCAATGAAGGTAGTTTCTCTGCATGGTTCATGTACCTTCACTTCCTTGGTACCTTTTCCCTTTTGAATCTGCTTATATTTCATCTGCCAATCAATGTAGCTTTCAGCTGAAACAAAGCTATGACACATAACTGTGACAGCCTTCAGAAATGTGCTGCTGAATCAACCATCTGCAGCTTCAGAGAATTATTTTGGGGTGTCTGAGAATTTCTTCTGCTGTGCTGCTCTCTGGGGCTGGTGGGGCTAAGGACAGAGTTTAATGGGGTTTAAGCTGCTGCTGGAAAAAGTCCTGTGTTAAGGTTGCATTTCAGCTGGTGGCATGAACACTGTGCTGGCAAAAGGAATGGCCTCAGCATGGAAACAGACATCTGGGGGTGGGAGGAATATAGGGCTGCTTTTTTGGGAATCACACCAGAACATGCTGCTGTTCCCTGCTCATGAATCATGCCAAATACTGTGATTCATAATGCATGGAGAATCTCTGCAGTTAAAATGCCATATGATGGCAACTGGGTTTGTTTTACACTTTTACAAGGAAAAATACTTTTAAATCACAAGTTCAGTTCTGCTGTGCAGTGCAGACCCCTGAGCAAGGGAGTGTGTGTGGAACCAGCTGTAGTTCCTGGTCTGCAGGCACTGAAAATGTTGATGCTGTTCTTGGAATGTCAGGGTAGTTAAGATTTTTGTGGGATAGGAAGCACCTTTCCTACAGATTTTTGGTAGAGTCACTGTCACCATTGTTCTTCATCTGACAGACAAAGGAGCTGATCAGCAGTATGAAGGTAAATGGAAGATGCAGTGCATGTGCTTTCACTCCAGACAGCAGTAAAATATACAGTTATTCAAGTGAGTATTCCAACAGCACTAGTCCCAATTCCTCTGAAATTGCTCAAGTTTTTACAAGTAATTGATTGTTTTACAGAGCGAATTAAAAAACTTTATGCCAGTATCTAACCAAAGGAAGAATAATGAAAGAAAGGAGTTAACTCTTCTAGTTTGCCTTGTGTTGTTTTGGTTTTTTAAAAATACCCTATATTTGATAGCTGTAAATGAGCAAATATTTATCAGATTTATTTTAACAAATTAGACAAACAAAGTGTTGTGTATTTATGGTTTCTATAATTACTTCATTCTGCAACCAGAGGAAGGTGAAGTTTTCATTTGGGATGTGAGAAGCAGAAAGTGCCTACACAAATTTGAAGATGAAGGTTCTTTGGAAGGAAAGTGCATTGCTGTGTCAAAAAATAACCAGTATGTGGCATGTGGGTAAGTGCCTGGGGTTTGGCAGCTTCTCCCCATCTTACTTTGGAGCTCTGTCATCACTCCTGTTGTTTTGGTGTTGCTGTCTGTGGGTTCAGGAATGAATTTTGAAATCACAGTGTGTGAAATCACAAATTCAGGGTCTTCTCCCTTTTCTAGTTGTCTTTCCTGTGCTCTGAATTTGGCACCTGCAGGTTAGTCTTTGAAAAGGTGCCTCAAGTCAGAGTCACAAGCTGGAAGTGTTTCCTCTATGTGTATTTAATGAGGTGCAAGTTCAGCCTCTGGATTGATTCCCTTAAATAAGAGTAGCATGTAAACCTTTAAGCACAGTACATATTTTCTTAGCCCATTGTAGAAAAGGATTTTGAAGTGATCTTACTCTACAGTTAAAAAACAACACAATAAAGAGCTTGAAATTATTTCAGAATCTCTTGATACCAAGTTCCCATTGCTTTGAGTTCCTTCTGGTAAGAGATGAGCTCATTAAGGCTCTCCACAGTTAAGTCTCTTTATAAGTAACAAAAACCCAAAGCCTTCCACTAAATACTGTTTAATCTCCAAAGGAAAATCAAGCCCCAACCAAAATATTATTCCAAACTCCAGTAAACAATTGGGAATTACATTTTCAGGGGACTGGTGGCTATAGATAACTAGGCAATATGTACTGAAATGTTAATTTTTGGTGTAATCTTTGTTAATTTCTGTAGTTCATCTACTGGAGTTGTAAATTTGTACACTACTGATGTCTGTCTCAAAGAAAACAGACCTAAACCAGCTAAAGCCATAATGAACCTTGTGACTTCTGCTACCTGTGTGACCTTCAACCCCAGCACAGAAATCCTGGCCGTGGCTTCCCGTGACACGGATGAGGCTGTCAAATTGGTAGGTTCAGCCTCTCTGTTGCAAACTTTTCTGTGTCTTGATCAAAAATCCTGCTGTGACATGATAAAACTGATCCTAAGCAGTTATGAATACTGCCCAGTGTGCTGGACTGACCACATCAGGACATGTACAAGGATGTGAGTTTATTTTCTTCAGTGAGGTTGCTCTGAAAATAACATTTCATGGTCTAGTTTACCTTTTTAAAATGTCTGGAAGTGTTCCAGGCCAGGTTGGATGGAGCTCTGAGCAGCCTGGTCTAGTGAAAGGTGTCTCTGCCCATGGGGGGGTTGGAATGAGATGAGCCTTAATGTCCCTTCCAACCCAAACTATTCTGGGATTCTATGGTTCTCTTTCAGTGCTGGAAATAAAACTCAGCCACAATGTGGGTTTTGAGCAGCTGGTAATTGTAACCATCATACTATGGGGTTTTTCCCAGCTCATTCACGATTTTGCCAGCCTTGTCAGAGTTCTGGCCAACATCTGAGGGCTTAGGGGCCTATTTTTACTGCTTAGATGTAATTGCTCAGAAAGAAAAGCATTGCACTAACTGGCTGCATAGTGCGTTCCCTGCTCCTGTTCTCCAGTTGAGCTCTATATATAGAGCCATGCAGGGTAGGAATATAACTGAACATTTGAGCTTAACATCAACCTTCAGTTTTAAATTTGTACTTTACTCTTATTTTTAGAGGCTTTTTCCTAATCGTTGTCACTACTGACCTGTTTCCCAATAGGTGCACATTCCTTCCTATACTGTGTTCTCAAACTTCCCAGTGTTCAGAAGAAAACAGATTTATCTTGCTCAATCTATGGACTTTTCTCCCAGAAGTGGGTATTTCTCTGTGGCAAATAACAAAGGCAAAGCTTTGTTATTCAGGTAGGTGCTAAGTTAGGTTCATTAATCCTAGATCACATGTTTATGTGCTGTGAGATGGGGCAGGTGACTGCTAAGGGATCAGGTTTGAGTTTGTGATCTGAAATCCACCTGCTGAGTTCCTGGACTGTGGAGATGGCTTTCCCTGCCTTGTTTATTGTCTGATTATAAAATGCACATTGTTGCAGACAACCCTGTTAAAACTGTCCTTGGCTTCTTTTCCTCCTTTTTTCCCCCCCTGCTGATGTGTCAGGGATAAGGTGTAGTGCTAACTGGGCAGGAATATTTCTTTTTTTAAACTCAGCACCTTTCTGTGATACTTGAAAAACTTGATTTTTAAGATGAGATTTTAATTTACAAAGTCTGACAGGGAAAATTGACACCTAAATAATTCTAAAAAATGTGAATAAATCCTGTGCTTTGTCCTTTATTTGAACTTAAAGTGCCATTATAATATGTCATTTAACTCTAGATAGTTGCTATATTTGATTACACCTCTGTTCCTAAGCTAAGAATATTCTGACACTACTGGAGAGTTGTTGCTGCTTTGTCTTGTTCACTCAACAGGTTGCTAAGAAGTTTTACATCTATCTCAACTTTTTTTTTCTTCAGGCTGAAACATTATTCATCTTTTTAAAAGAAGATAGAGGAGAAAATGGACAAGTAACTGAGGTGAGAATAGCACGGGAACTGTTGACAACGTGGTGGCAGATCCTTGGCTTGGTCCTGTTCTGGAGTTGTGTCAGTGAGCCCACACAAGTCTGCATCACTCCAGATTCCATGACAATGAGTTACTGAAGTTTGAAGCACAGTTTGTGTGCAGATATGATTTCATTGTACACTTAAACTTGGAAAACTGAAAGACCTGTAGCCTTGATAGTGATACAGTAGTTCTGTTTGACCAAAGATGTGTTGTCAATGAGAAGCTGAATTGCTCAGCCTGGAAGCAACTTTGAGTGCTGCAGGTTAAGCTTGCATAGAAGTTTGTGATGGTTGAATGTTTGGAAGGTGCTAACAAAATCCTCTGTACTGCTCTTTCCTCAGGTGTTGTAACCTGCAGCTATGAGTATGCTGACAAAGTCAAACAAGATTTTATTTTATATGGAAGAGATGCTAATCGAAATCTGTATTTTGTGTCTTGTTTTTTTAATAAATATATGTGATGATAAGTTTCCAGGCAACTTGTTTCAGGTTCTTCCAATGCTTTGTATAAGCACATGACTAAGATTTTATTGCTTGGCACTCAAACCAGTGAGTTAAACATTCCAGAAATGTTTAAATGTCTAGGTATTATGAGCATGTGAAGTATTCCAATGGTGAAACAGAAAGCATTGGTTTTGTGAGAACTAACCTCTGCTCCATGTATGTAGCATGAGCTTTCCCATCAGCCTGGTTTGTTTGGGGCTGGGTTGGGAGCAGCATTGTGCTGCCTGGAGGAGCAGATCCCCCTGAAATCCCTCATGCAGGTGTTGAGTTCAGCCCAACTTCCTGGACCAGCTGTAGCTTAAAGCCCAAACCAAGAGGTGAAGCAAACCCACCCCTAGCTGTGCTTCCTGTGTCACAAAACCAGCTGCATGTACCATGGTTTTCATTCTTAAGATCCCAAACTCATCTTTCTGTGAAAGCAAAGCATCCTAAGTATCACTTATTTTAAAGTCAGTGGTGAAATTCTGATACCATCAGGGTCACCCAGCAGGGTCTGTGTCAGAGCTGCTCTTGCTGGTTCTTCATCTGCTGCCAAATCCTGCACCTCTGATCACTCTTCCTGCACTGCCCACCTCGTCCTGTTCAAATATGTGAACCAAAAGTGACTAGAAGGAGGGAACTCTCTGGGCAGTAACAGGAGCTAAGGTGCTCCAGTAACCAGCAGTGAAGTAATGTATAAGCCCATTGTTAAATTCTTGTCATGCTGTTTTAAAAAGCAGGGTGTTTTCTGATGCAGTGGATTTTTGAAATGGGTTTGCCAGTGATTCATTGAGAACCTGAATTCACAAATCAGAAATGTCGTGGTTTAACCCCAGCAGCAGCCAAGAACCACACAGCCTCTCACTCACTCCCCCACCAGCGGGATGGGGGAGTGAATTAGAAGGGTAAAAGCTACAAAAACTCATGGGTTGAGATAAAGACAGTTTAATAGAGAAAGCAAAAGCTGCACACACAAGCAAAGCAAAACAAGGAATTAATTCACTTCTTCCCAAAGACAGGAGGTGTTTAGCCATCTCCAGGAGAGCAGGGCCCCATCATGCGTAACGGTTCCTTGGGAAGACAGACACCATCACTCCAGATGTCCCCCCTTCCTCCTTCTCCACCTTATATACTGAGCATGATGTCCTATGGTATGGAATATCCCTTTGGTCAGTTTGGGTCACTTGTCCCAGCTGTGTCTCCTCCCAATCTCCCATGCACCCCCAACTTCCTTGCCAGTGTGGCAGTATGGAAATCAGCAAAGGCCTCGACTCTGTGTAAACTCTGCTCAGCAATAACAAAAACATCTCTGCATTATCAACTCTGTGTTCTGCACAAAACCCAAACATAGCCCCATACTAGCCTCTATGAAGAAAGTTAACTCTACTTCAGCTCAAACCAGCACAAGAAAAAAGCAGAATATGCTCTGGAGGTGTTAAATGGAGTGTTTAATCTTACTGCAGTGCTAAACCCAAACGAACGACCCTAGGATGGAAGAGTAAATTGAATGATAAGCACACTTGATTAAGGTACTTGCTGTGTAGGATTCTTCTGTTTCAAACAAGTCTGGGTAAAATCTCTCTGGGACTGAGACTTGAACTGCAGAAATTGAGGAGCTGGAAGTGGTGGTGGCTGCACTAGAGGGCAGCCCAGCACTGCTGGTGGAGGGTTGGATGTTCCTGCACAGTGTGACAGCTCTGCTGATGGGAGTGGTTAGCAGCACAATTCACCTCTTCTCATCTCTCTGTTTTACCATTAGGGAGGTTTAAGTAGTTATTAAATCATTTTAAATCAAAGATTTCTAAAAAGGTGATTTTTTTTTGCCTATGTAGCCTGTTAGCAAATCTCCCTGAAGCAGCTGTGAAGTGTTTTAATACCATTTAATCTACTTGTCCTTGTTCCACTCTTTGCACAGTCTGTGCTTCTCCAATTTACCCACTCAAAACAAATTCTCAAATCCAGTGATTCCAAGCTCTGTTTCAAGTAGGTGGCAGATCTGGAATTAGAACTTGGGCATTACTGGATTCTGGACTTGTTTAGTTTGCCTAAACACAGCTGATTGTGCTGTTTTTCCTGGCCCACCCTGCTGACTCCTGGCTGGGAGAGGTCCAGACTGGATGGAGCAGGAGAGTGAGCAGAAAAGGTGTCATGAAACTGAGATGCTGCATATTCCTGTATCCCTGCAAACGACTTCACACAGTAACAGGAAGCAAGGAGAGATTAAACATTCATTTTTTGCAGATTCTGTGATGTAAGTTTCAAATGTTAAGCTCTGCTGAGTGACTGCAGTGCAGGAATGTTTCAGCTTTGTACTAAATACCTTAATTTTGGCTGTTGCATTTTCGTTTTCTGGAAAACATAACCTCTTGCCACATTCAGTGTAAAATAGGGAAGACTTTTGCTTGAGCAATAAAGGAAACCTCATGGTACTTGTTGCATTCCATAATGGGTTTTGAGCAATGTACTGAGCAGGTCTTAAAAGTTGGATGATAGGAATTATTGCCAGAAGCTGAACCTGTTCCTGGTGTGTCTGGGGATATTTGTTTGGAGTGGGATGAATTACTATTAAGTACACACATCTCTGTACTCTCATCCTGAAAAGCTCAGCTCTTTGTCAGTTTGCCATGTGTTGAGTGCTTAAGCTCCTGACCTATTTAAAACCTCTGTGTTTAATTCCTTTTTTCCTAGCATGGCTTTTTTTTTTTTCCCCCATCGTTGCTAAGCCGAAGTTCTTTTAATGAATTATTTCTCTGCTTTTCCTCTCCTTCCATTCTCCTTGGCAAAATAAATTTTATTGATGTAGCCCATGAAATATTTATCAGGGAGCCTTTCCCCTTCAGGCTGTGATCTTGTCCGATTTTGCAAGCTAAAGACAATTAGTCTGGTTGGTGCTTAGAAAGGAAACCTCCAAGAACAAAAAACCTGACTAGGTGTTAGAGTAACACTCTTTTGAGTGTTAATCTTTAGAGGATTATTGGGTTTGCAGCTAAGTCTGGCTTGAAGCTGCAGTTTGACCCTGCACCTGTCCCAGAGCCGTGTTTGTGGTTCAGGTGGTTTAGCAGATTCCTAAAGGATCGAGTGATTATTTTTATTCTCCCATGGCTCATTCAATATCCAGGATTGCTGCTCTTAAAATTATTTGTGAAGTCACAGTTCTGTAAATCTCTTCCATGTGGAACTGTTTCAACTGCTCCATGGTTTTTCCAGCTGTTTGCTGATCAGACAGCAAATTAGCTTCTCTCTCTGGATGTGCTGAACTCATCCAGTGGCTGTGACAGAGCACACCTTAAAAAGGAGCTGCTTTCTTGCCTAAGGATGCTGCTTGGACTATTTGAAGGCCTCTGGTGATCCTCTGAATTCCCTTTTTTTTGCTCTCAGATCCAGAGGGAGGATGCAGTATTCTCCTGGAGGCTGTCTGAACTCAGTCTGTGCAATCCCTCTGGGAGTCTCCCAGGTCTCCCTCAGTTCTGCTGTGTTTGTGCTGTGTTTCCTTGGACAAGCAGCAGCAATGTGTTGGGCACTTAACGACACATTGCTGCCTTTAATTGGATTTCTTCTGTTGCAACCATGGAACAATTACTGGGTTTTTTTCTGGAACAAAACATCTCTTGTGTGCTCTGACATTTTTGTCCCGTGTTGTGCCACAGTGAGGTGGCAATACAGTCAAACCTATTTTGGGACCCTAATTGAGGCAGTTGCTCCTGTGTATTTCCTTCCAGTTATTAAAACTGTGCAAGTTATACATCGTATTAAGTTGCCTTGAGACCCCCTTAACCTGAATGAAATCTGATAAGCTGATCAGGCTCTTGGAAGTGGCTGCAATATGCTTTGGGTTTCATAACAGATATTGAAATTGTGCCTGAGATCTCAGTCTTCATCGGGTTGTATTTTGCATGTAAGATTGGCTGTCATAGGAGACTTCCCTCTGTGTGTGCAATACTCAATGTCTTATTATGCCTAAACAGTTGGGAGGAAAAGTTGAAGCAGAGGAGAGTTTGGAAATGTGATGCAGGAGCCTTTGCTTCTCCTTCCTCCCCATTGCAGTCACTCCCAAGTCTTTCTCCTCACTGCTGGTTTCAATTCCTTCCCCACCCAACCTGTAGCTGTGTCTGGGATTGCCACAGCCCAGATGTAGGACCTTGCACTTCATTTTGTGCAACTTCCTGAGGTTTGCATTGTTCCACCTCTCCAGCCTGTCAAGGTCCCTCTGGATGTCCCATCCCTTCCCTCCAGCTGTGACTGTCCCACACACTTGGTGTTGTCAGCAAATTTCAGCACTCAGAGCTCTCCTTGTGTGCTCCAACAGACTGGGAGACCATGCAAACTACCTTTTTTCTGCACACAGCTTTAGATTCTGGAGAAACCAGCTCAATTTGTTGGAGAAGCAGTTTCTTCATTGATTGGAAGATATGAACTGGATTGTAGAAATAAGAATTATGCCCCCTGTGCACAGACTCCTTGTGTGGCTTCTGCAGAATATT